GGTAACTCTCACCCTTCTTGGAGGGGGGGCTCCGTGCCCTTTCTCCTTTGCAGCCGTTGCTGCCACAGGAATGATGACTTGTTGAGGCTCCTCCTCTTCATCAGATTCCGCCTCAACAACGAGCTTCTCAGGCACAGCTGTGGAAGAAAAATGTGAGGATAAGCAGGATAAAATACAAAGTAGCAAACATAGACCAGGGAGACGACAATCACCTAAATATGAGCTGATGGAGTGGGGACCGCCTGCGGACAGTATCTCAATAGAGGACTTGAGACCAGGGGAGAGAGCGACCCGGTCACACTTCCGAACCCGCTCACCCCACTGAAACGGAGGTGACGGGAGATCGGGGTCAGACACCCAGATCCATCTCTTCTTCCACCCCTTGCCTGAAGCGGGGTAACCCGACCGAAACAGTTTGCTCACTGACCTCTGGGAGACAGAGGTGAAAAAGCTAGAAGCACGCCACTGGAAACAGTTGAAAAACAAATCAATCGTGGGTGTGAGGCCCACATCCTCACATCGCGACACGAAAGCTGCAACGAACATGTGAGCCGCCGGAGCCAACTGACCCGGTGCCACACCCAAGAAGTGAAGGAACCGAATCAGGAAGGGATGCAGTGGCACAGCCATCCCTAACTCCAGAGAGCGGATATGGACCCCGAAATATGGGGTTGGTGGATTGCTCAATATGTCAGTAACTCCCGGAGTTTCCAACAAACAATTATCACCAATCAAACCACATGCCATGATAAGGTCATCCTCCGTGACGCGAGAAGGGAGGCCCGATATTCCGTTGCTATCAAGGTCCCACTAGGAATCCAGGTCTGCCCGAGTATCGGAATCATCATCTGAGTCTGGTACGTTCACAGGTCGGATGCATGCCCTATCTGGAACATTGAGAGGTCGTCCCTCAGAAGTAGCAACCCGCCTAGCTGGAGCCAACTCAGGGAGAGCATCAGCTTGCCGCCCAGTAGTAGCACCTGCATGCATACGGGGCCGAGGGCCGTGGCTGACCCGCATGGGTCTCGCAGCTGCCCCACGCTCTACTTCGATGTCAGCCGATAATCCCAAAGCCACATGACCGTTATTTTCATAAGCAGAGCGCCCATCGCCTTGCATTTTTCACACCGGGAAGAGAAGACCGGATCTGCAAAAAAAAACGTGAGATAAGTTCAATTTCCAAGAATTTTCACCAAGGGATGCGGGATGAAGATCCTGGGAAACAAACTTCGGAGGTCCAATTCCCCCGGTCACCCGCACGTTAGCATGAACAATAGGGTGGCCTCCGGATTCTAGAAACCGCGCCAGCCAAGCATGGGGGACCAGACCTATCGGCCAGACCCGCCGGACTGCAGGGGCGGTGTCGCAGGCGGCGAGTGACGCAGGACAAGCATTGGGCGCGGCAGGGGCCGGCCTGTGGAATCGGTGAACCACACACGGCGTCTGACCAAATTGACAGCTAAACCGGCAAAAAAGGGGACGGTGCCGCCCAAATTGGACCCGGAGGACCACTTGGCCGCTCGGCTTCCTAGCCAACGACGGCTGGCAGCGCCCAGCCTGAGAGCGCCTGGTCGCCCGCCCGCCTGGCCGCCAGCCTCCTGGGACGGTGCCGCCCAAATTGGACCCGGAGGACGACTTGGCCGCTCGGCTTCTTAGCCAACGACGGCTGGCAGCGCCCGGCCTGAGGGCACCTGGTCGCCCGCCCGCCTGGCCACCAGCCTCCGGGGGGGCCGCTCATCCCTGAAGATTGCGTCGGCCACAACAAGATCCAAGACCCGCCGGCCAATTTCGCTGGACACCTGGACTGCCGGGGACGTCAGCGACCGGCGGGTGGCGCGAGACAGCCACTTGGCGCAGCAGAGGCCGACCCAAGATCCGCCACGAGGGAAACAACGGTCAACCCCGTCGGCTGGTTGACTGCGGCACTGCGCGACGCGAGGAAGACGGACGCAGGAGAGAGAGAAAAGAGAAGAAATGAAAGAAAAAAGAAAACAAAGAAAAAAGAAAAAAAAGAAAAGAAAAGGAAAGAAAAAAGAAGGAAAGAAAAGAAAAGGAAAGAAAAGAAAAGGAAGGAAAAATAAAATAAAGTCCAAAAATAATTTATGAAGTAATAAAAATGAATTTCAGGGATTTTTTGAAGCTGACCTGGATCCTGAAGTCTGGGAGAAAGCTTGCTGCTGGAGTGCTAGAACGCTGAGGGAATTAATTTGGGGCCTTTTAAAGTTGGGTGCCTTATTCGAAATTTGGAAATCTCCATAAACTGTGGGATTGACAGAATCCACAATTATGACTCCCTGATATATGAATATTTTTTAATGGGCAGCTGACCTGAACTACTCCCTCTTAGCCGAGTCTACTACTCGACTAAGGGAGTGGGGGACTCGTGATGGGGTTATGGGACTAGGCCCATAGCCTAATCGGCCCAGGTCCCGAACTTGGACCAGCGGCCCAAGCCCATCAACATAGAGCTCGAGTCGGCCCAACCAGTGCAATCAAGGGTTGAAGCCCAAGAGAGCCTGTCGACCAGCCCAGTGGGGAGCCTGCCTTCCAGCCCAGTGGGGAGCCCGCCTTCCAGCCTAGCCAGGAGCCTGCCGACCACCAGCCCAGCTGGGAGCCTGCGGTCCAGCCCAACTAGGAGCCTGCGGTCCAGCCTACCCGGGAGCCTGCCTTCCAGCCCAGTGGGGAGCCTACCTTCCAGCCTAGCCAGGAGCCTGCCGACCACCAGCCCAGCTGGGAGCCTGCGGTCCAGCCCAACTCGAAGCCTGCGGTCCAGCCTACCCGGGAGCCTGCCTTCCAGCCTACCCGGGAGCCTTCCTCCAGCCTAGCGGGAAGCCCACCGTCCAGTCCAGCAGGAGGGAGCTCAAGCGTCCAGCCTGCCTGCCAGGCTGACCTGCCAGCCAAGAAGAGTAACGGCCAACAATTAATGTGCGACTTAATTATGTGTTTAATTCTGTATTAATGTTGTAATTAATTTAGTCATTATTATGTTCGGCAGTTACCATTTGTAATCGCCTATAAAAGGCAATTCGAATTTCAAATACAGATATGCTATTTCTGGCTAATTTTCCATATTCGTACTTTCCTAATTCTTGCTTGAGTGTCGTACGTAGCTTTCCTAAAAGCCTACGAGCGTCCTATTTTGGACCAACAATTATTATTGTTAGTATTATTATTATTGTTATTGTTATTGTTATTGTTATTAATATTTGCAATTATAAATGAATAAAATATAATTATTTATGGATTATAATATATATAAAAAAAATTCATGCAAAAAATATAAAAATAAAATTTCAGACCAGACCAGATCAGACCAGACCAAAACAGACCAGACCAGACCAGCAAATTACCGTCTAAGTAAAAACATCCTAACTACCAAAATATGTAAGACTCAAGTTATTATTTATTTATTTGGACAAAACTAATTGAAATTAAAGCACAAGACCATTTTAACTACTTTATATTCAACCAAATTCTAGGTGGTGCGAGCAGGATGAAGAGATTTTACGTTGGGCCTTCAACCAATCGTGGACTGTGTTTTGTATTTTTCTGGAATTTTTTTGAGTAGTTTTGGTAGCTCGTGTTACTGTTCATCTTCATGGGAAATTGCTACGGTAAATCCTGCGCACTAAACACTAGTCACGAAATTTTCCAGTCTTTTATACCTATCTTTTGTGGAAACTAATCATTGCAGGTTGTTCTCCATATTAAGGGATATCTTCTGGACTGATTTCAGTTTTTTTGTAGCTCTTCCAAAATTCCTGGAATTTTTGAGCTACCTTTGACTAGTTAAACATTTTTCCTGGATTTTAGACTTGGCTTTTGGTTAAACTAATCATACCAGGTTGTTCAGCATATTGAGGGGTATCTCCTTGAGTTTTTTGAGATTTTTTGGAGCACTTTCAAAAATCTCAAACTTTCTGTCCGCTACAGTAAAATCCTGCGCACCTTTGACTAGTTAGGAGTTTTTTCTGAACTCCATACTTGTCCACTGGTTTAGCGGATTATAACGTTCTGTTCCTAACTTCGAGGGGAACTCGTGAGAGTATTTTCAAATTTTTCTGAGTTGGTTTGGGTTGGTTAAATTGGATTTGCTGCTACTGGTGGTTGTTTCTTCTTGTTTGTTTTGTTGTGTTGGCTTTGTTTGTTGGTACTAAAGGTGCAGGTGGGATGTGCTGATCATTATGACAAGGAACAACAAACAATCTCGCACTCCTCCACCTAAGGATGAGGCATTTGATGCAAAAATCCGAATGATCAATGCCAAGAAGGTAGAGATTGAGAACATGAGAAAGGAAGAGGACTCCACTACTAAGGTGTATATCCCCAAGACTGCTCCTAAGCTCACCATTAATCCTACAATGCAAAGAAGTCAGCCAGCTCCCTCTTTTGAAGTAACTTCAAAGGAGATTTCTTTTGAGAAAGAAACTGCCACCTCAAGTGCTACTATTGACATGAATACTTCTAAAGTGGATGGATTGGTGGAGGATGTATCTATTACACTTGGGTCCGAGGACACACAATTCATTGCTAACCATGGGGATGATAGGGATGAAGAGAATGATGGAAAGAAGGGATGGGTTAATTTGTTACAAAATAACCGCTCCCTCTCTCACGGCATGAAACTTGATTACGTCCCACCCATTGGGGATGTTGTTGACTTCTCAAATCGGAAAGTACCCTCCATTGTTGACATATGGGGGTACTGTTTGGTGGGGATTTTCACGGGCAGATTTCCCGGAAGGAAAGCAGTACTTGACCTCATTAAAACTTGGGGTGTTGAGTGCAAAATAAAATCACACGATAAAGGATGGACAATCTTTCAATTCAAGACGGAGGAGGACCGTACCAAGGTCATTTCCGAAGGGCCTTACTCATCCTATGGTAAGGCTCTTTTCCTCAAAGTATTATCCGAGGATTTTGAGGTGGATGGTGATGAATGTTTGAAAGTTCCCATTTGGATAAAGCTGCCCGGGCTTTCGGCCACACTATGGAACAAGGCGGAGATAAGTGAATTGGCCTCACGGGTAGGGGTACCCATCATTGCTGATCAAGTCACGCTCAACAAAGCTAGGGCTAACTTTGCACGAGTTCTTGTGGAGGTTGATTCTACTAAACCTCCGGTTCTTGAGATCCCAATGATTCAACCGTCCGGGAGAAAAAGGAAACAATATGTGATATATGAGACATATCCTAACTATTGTTTCGAATGCAAAAGATTTGGACACAATCCCTTTCTTTGCAAAGTGCTCCACCCGGAATTGAAGGAGGAGGAAGAAAAACAAAAAAAAAAGATACTAAGAAGAGCTTAAAACCGAATGGTGAGGGCCAAATTGTGGAGAATGCCGCTGTCCTTAAAGAGCCGGAGGAGGCACCGTTTCAACTAGTGGAGCGAAGGAGAAAGAAAATACCGGCTGCCACCGAACCTAAGGCACCGGTTGCCACTAAAGCAAAGGAACCCGCTGCCCAAAAGAAGAAACCGAGCAAGGAATTTGTATGGAGAGGAAGAAAAATCCTTAATGTGCACCAAATGCAATCGGATTATATTGTCACGGATTTTATTATTGAAGAAGATGGTACACATGTGGCCTTCGTCAAAAAACGTCACCAACTAAAGAGCTATGTATCCGTGGCAAGGCTTGCATTGGATACGCTTAAGGAGGCTCGTAATGATACGTTGGGCATTAACTTCATGGACGAATGCATGGTGGCACTTCCAGGAGTGAAACGAACCAAGGGATGGTATGCTTTTAATAAAGAAATTTTTATTTCTAACGTAGTTGTTTTCTTTGATCTTAATGCTAGGCACAATGTTGAATTTGCACGAGTTAAGAAGCAAAGGCAAATGGAAGAGGAAAAAATATGTGCGGCCAAGGAGGCTAAGGCGAAAGCTGCGGCAAAGGAGGTTGAGCCGAGGCCTACTATGCCAAAACCGAATAAGACTATGGGAGAACGGGAGGTGTTGAGTGTGTATGAGATGGATGAAGAGGACGTTGTAACTATGATGTTCTTTCATGAAGATGAAGAAAGGACCGTGTACGTCGCAAAAAAGGAGAACATCCCTTTCAGCCATCAAGTGTGTAGAGTTGGTCCAGATTTCAAGAAGGCCGATTGGGATAGTCCCGGGATGAACTTCACGCATAAATGCCTACGTTCACTTCCAGGAGTCAAAATTGCAGGACCATGGTTTGCTTTCAACACTTCAATCTTTATTCCTAAAGTTGTTGCTTTTTTTGATGAAAATAGCATAGAAAACTTGGAGCATCACAAAAGGATGATGACGCGGAAAGAGGAAGAGGAGGATGAAAGTGTGGAGGAATTGGAGGATGGTCACACCTCCAACTCTGAGGATTGTGATGATTAAAGTCGTCATATGGAATGTGAGAGGTGGGAAAAAACCCTCTAAACACTCTACTATTTCGAGTTTAATTAAATTTAATCAAGCGAGTTTGTGTTGTTTCTTGGAAACAAAAATGACAAAAATAAATATTTCTAACTATATTGCCAATAAATGGCCTGGATGGTTTTTTGAAACTAACCATGATTTTATTCAAGGTGGCCGAATACATGTTTTTTGGAATCCAAATTTAATATCTTGTACGTTGATTGAAATGGGGGAACAACACATGCATTTTCAATGCCTATGCCGCACTTCACAAACTGTTTTTCATGCTACATTTGTCTATTCTCTCTATACAGTTTTGAGGCGAAAAGAGCTATGGGAGCACCTTGCGTTACTTGGGGACCAAATTAAGGACCCTTGGTTTATAGCGGGTGATTTTAACTATGTGTGCTCTCCTAATGAGAGATTGGGTTCTAACGCACCCTCGAACTATCTTTTAAAAGATTTACTTGATTTTAAAATCCGGGCTAGCCTTCAAGATGCCCCATCCACGGGAGAATTCTTTACGTGGAATAAGGGACCTCTTTGGGCAAAACTTGACCGGGTTTTGTTAAATGAGACGTGGGCTCATTTGGGGATTGAATGCAAGGCCCATTTCGCTGAAATGGAGGTCGAGTTTGACCACACGACATCCGTGGTGTCTATACTCAATAATACCTCTCTCAGGCCGAAATCATTCAAATTTTTTAACATGTGGTTACAACATTGTGCTTTCACTAACATACTTTTGCAGAATTGGAATGTGAATATTCAAGGCACGGCTCAATTTCAAATTGCTAAGAAACTTAAGTTGCTAAAACAGCCGCTTAAGAATCTTAACAAAGTGGAATTTGGTCACATTTCTATGAAGGCAAAAAATGCGAAAGAGGACTTTAAAAGGCTAAACAGGTTGTTGCTTGATTCTCCCAATGATGCCGAGCTCAAAGAGCAAGTAATTGGGGCGAGAAAAAGAGCCACTTTCCTAGGTGAGGCCGAATGTGGTTTCTTCCAACAGCGTGCAAAAGCTACACATATCCTTGAGGCGGATAAGGGCACAAGGTATTTTCACGCTATCGTCAACAGGAACAAGGCTAGGAATACCATTACGTCCATTAGGCTGGATGATGGTAGCCTCACTACTTCTATTGATCATGTTGGGAATGAATTTGTAAAATTTTTTGTTGATCTTTTTGGCACTGAGATGGAAACCCTTTCCTTTGACCAAACGGTACTAGGAACCGGCCCTTTGATTGAACCAAGCGTTCATGATAGCCTATTATCTCCGATAACTAACAAAGAAATTAAAGATGCTTTGTTTGATATTGGGGATGACAAGGCACCGGGGCCGGACGGTTATTCATCGGCGTTTTTTAAGAAAAATTGGAATGTTGTTGGGGGGATGTGACTCGGGCGACCAAAGAGTTCTTTAACTCGGGAAAGATGCTTAAACAGTTAAATCACACTGTGATAGCTCTAATTCCTAAAACTAGTCACTCCCCTATGGTCTCAGATTATAGACCTATTTCATGTACTAATGTGCTTTACAAGATCATTACGAAGATTATTGCGGCAAGATTGATCCCTACCCTCTCGGGTTTGATTAACAAAGCACAAGGTGCGTTTGTGGATGGCCGCCTAATGTTTGATAAAATTTTCCTCACCCAGGAACTTGTTAGAAGATACAATAGGAAGCGAATTTCACCTCGTTGTATGATTAAGGTGGATTTGCGCAAGGCCTGTGATACTATTTCTTGGGATTTCCTTACCAATGTTCTTAGGGGTGTGGGCTACCCCGATTTATTTGTTGGTTAGATAATGGAGTGTGTTACTACCGCGTCTTTTTCTGTTTCTTTGAATGGTATTTTGCATGATTTCTTTAAAGGTAAGCGTGGCATTAGGCAAGGGGATCCAATGTCCCCGTTGCTTTTCGTTCTATGCCTTGAGTACTTCTCTCGCCTTCTTACCATGAAATCTAAAATGTCGGGCTTTAACCATCACCCGCTTTGTGGGTCCTTGGGTATAACCCACTTGGCCTATGCGGATGATCTTATGCTCTTTTCGAGGGGAGACAAATACTCCATCAGAATATTGGTTGAGGCTCTTAAAGAGTTTGGGGACGTATCGGGCCTAAGGGTTAACCATAAAAAATCTAACATTTTCGTCGGTGGGGTTAATAGTTTCGATTTGCAGGGTATTTTAGACCTCGTGGACTTTGATCATGGAGTTTTCCCGGTGAGATATCTCGGTATCCCACTTGCGCCTTTAAAAATCTTTGTGGCCCAATATGCGCCACTCCTTGACATGGTAAATAAGTTCTTAAGCACCTGGAACACCAAGACGATTTCCTATGCAGGTAAACTTGAGCTAATACGATCTGTGATCCAAGGGGTCCAGTCGTTTTGGCTCCAAGTGTTTCCGGTACCTCAAACTGTTCTTGATAGAATTGTTTCGATATGCCGTATTTTTTTATGGGGTGGCAAATTCGCAAAGGTGGCTTGGGACGATATTTGCCTCCCTAAAGAAGAAGGGGGCCTTGGCATTCACAATGCTAAGATATGGAATCATGCCCTCCTCGCTCGCACCCTTTGGGATGTACATCTAAAGAAAGACACGCTCTGGGTACGTTGGGTGAACGGTGTATACCTCAAGGGTAAAAGCGTGTGGGACTTTGTCCCACACACCCGAGACTCCCAGCTCATGAAGCGACTGAGTCTCATTCGCGATAAGATTCGGGGCTGTTTTAATAACTTGAATGATACGATTCTTGGCCTTAATTCCCGTTCCACGAATGGAAAATTAACCTCCGCCAAAATTTATGATTTGCTAAGAGTTAAGGGTACTGCTAGGACTCCTATGAGTTTCATATGAAAATCCTACATTCCCCCCAAACTCTCTTTTAACGTGTGGTTGGCTTTAAGAAACCGGCTTCCTACCCAGGATAGCCTCAGTTATCTACACATTGTGAATAGGTGTGACCTGTGCAAGGGTGGTTTGGAGACAATACCACACCTCTTTTTCCTCTGCCCTTTTACTTGTAGGGTGTGGCAGCACATAAGGAACTGGATGGGATTAAGGCATGAGATGACCACCTTGCTAAGTGCCGTGAAGTGGATTATGAAGACTCATAGAGGATCGACGCTGAAGGCAAAGGCAGCCCGCCTAGCATTCTGCGCCGCGGTGTATTATATTTGGCATGCGCGTAATGAGATACGATTTGATGGGGGATCAAAGACGGAGGAGAATATTATTGCGAAGATCAAACATGTGGTGTATAAGATCCTATACAACTTATACCCACATGAACTGATCAACTTTTGATGGTGGATGCCGAAGTCGCGGCTTAACCTCCTTGGACTTGAGTGTGCACTCTGCAACACATCGGACTTCTGGTTGGGGCTAAGGGGAGAATTCACTATAACCTCCTCTTGGCTAGGTTCTTTCCATTTGTTTTGATGTACTGTTATGATCTATGTGCGTGCAGCATTGATTTCTTTTTCTGATTTTTGGGCATTTAGTATTGTATACTTAGGCCCTTTTTGAGTGTTGACCTTAGATTAGATCGAATAAAACCTCTCCTAACCCATACACTAGGTAGGGGTGGGGGAGGTTTTAGGAGATCTAGAACCTTTTTGATGTACATTTTTCTGGGTGTTAATATATATTTACATTTCATCCAAAAAAAGAAGGAGAAGATAGGGTTTTATCTGCATTTGCTAATTGACGATATGAGACACCTTATTCAAACTAAGAGTAATTTTCATATCTTGGTCCAAAAGGTGGAATCTCCCACCCCAGGAGCCCCCCATACCTTGACCCGACAAGATTTTTTGGGAGGATGTTAATCACGGTGACTCAGTCGGCCCAATGATGGTAGGCTTTTTTCCCGTGCGCACCAGAGGCCCGACCTTATTTCAGGTTCTGTGACCTGCACACGGTCCTGCGGGTTTCGAACCTTGAATTGGTCACTTGGTCCAACTTTTCCACCACTGAACCAACTGAGCTACCCGTGCGGGTGTAATTTTCATCTCTTTTTGTAAACGGTTTGCAAATCTTGTTGCCTATGTGATATAGGGATGCACCGGACTCCGGGACGAGTCGGGGTGGGAGTGGGGTTTTTGGATGAAGGCCCGGGACCAGGTCGGGCCGGGCTACCCGGCCAGGTCTCGAGTCGGGTCGGGCTATTTTTTTAGAGTTTAGTATAAAAATTAATTCAACAAGTGCTATACGTTAAAAAGTTAAAGTATATTTATTTGAAATATGAACTACAAATGACAATTGAGAAAAAATTAAAACATTAATTACATTTCCTAAAAATCAGATGGAATCTCCGGTACCGTCGGTTGTTGTTTCCTCCATGAAGTGGCGGGTGGGGGCGATGCTAACTTCTTGAGTTCTACGTTGGGTCTTCAACCAATCGTGGAAGCAAACAAGCGTCTCAAGAGATTTTACGCTCAATCTCGTTCTATAATCCGTAAGGACGTTGCCGGTCGATCGCACTAAATTCTTGTTCTACGGCAACTGTTGATACTTGCATTGATAGTACTTGTTTAGCCATCTTTGATAAAATCGGGAACGTTCTTTCTTTGTCCTTCCACCACTGCAGAACGTCAAAGTCATTCATGTCTTCATAGTCAACAGGAAATGTTAGATATAGAGAAAACTCGTTAATCGAGCTTTGTGCAACATCGGGAGTTGATTTACTTTTTTCTATAAGATTGCCAAATATATATTTCAAAAAAGATTTTCGTTTAGATGAAGAAGATGTTCGTGTTGGGGGAGGGGGTGTGTTACCATATTGTGCATGAAACTCATTATATAATTGATGAAATAAGTTACTAACCTCGTATTGCTCTTTAGGATCTATGAGCTTATATTCGTACATAGGTAATGGACCGAAACAAGAA